AAAATCTCGTATTTTACGTACACCAAATTCTTCTGAAAATTTGGTATTATTTTCCCTCTGTTTCGAAAATATATATCGTTTAATTTTTTTTACATTTTTTCAAACTATTTTTTATAATATATGAATAATATATAATTAAATTTTTTTTTATTTGTGTTTCTTATGGAATCTTAATTTGATAAAAAAAAATTTCGATGATTATTAATGTAGACATAAACTATAAAAAATATTGTCTAAAGATACAAATAAAAAATCATACTACTTCTATTTTGAATCAGATGAAATAATAAATCAAATTACTATATTTTGAAATGGATAGGGTGGTATGAAGTAAAATATTTATTGTTCCAGTTTCATCTCCACTTTCACAGCTGCTTCTTTCTCTCCATCGCCCCATATATATTCTGTTGTGCAACTGATTATAATAGGCTTCATGTTTATATATTTGGGGCTTTAGGAATGGTATGATGCTTTTCTCCTCATCGTATTTCTTTTCAGCCTTCTGATTTTATCCATTAATTAACCAACCGAATTTAGTACCGCTTAATCTCCCAACCTATGTACTCTATTCTACAGATTGCATCATCATTTTGGTAAAATCTACAACATATCTTCAATCTGCATTTTTTTTCTTCTCAAAACCCTCAAATTAAAGAATTAAGCACAATTTTCAGGTCAGCAGGTATAATTTTTTAATTTAATTCCTATTTTCTTTCTTCTCTCAAAAGCTTTTTATATACTTGTATATGTGTTTTCCTTTTCTTCTTTGTAACTTTGTTTGCATTTTGGTTTTCATTTTACACGCAATCTATGAAGAAGTGTTTTGTTAGCACATCTTTTCTCTCATCACTCTGGGTCATTTGGAGAAAGCACAAAGGCTATTTAATTAAGGTAAATTTTCTTCTCTCACTTAATTATTAATTATTTTATGACTAATTTATTTCTCATTTTTTTTGTATATGTAATAATAAAAAACGAAAGAATGTCTAAATTTACTCCAAAGTTAAGCAATAAGCAATAGGGATGGATCCACCCTAAACAAAAACTAAGGATAAATTTAGTTACAAAATTTTTTATTTAAATAATTCCAAATTTAATGTATTATATCAGATGATACCAACAAACCGTTTGTTTTGATTTTAATAAGTTTATTGTTAACAGATTATTGATATCATTAACTTGATATGTCACATAATTTGTCAAAGTAAAAAATTTTATAGATAAATTTGTCCCCATTTTTTTGGTTCAAAATAAATCTGTTCTTATTATCTAACTTTAAGAGTTAATTTAGGTATTCTGTTTAAAAAAATACACGCAATAATATCACCCCTCCTTTTGGGTGGGTATTTTAGTATCAACTTACCATCTCATGCTGCTATGTACTCTGTTTTACAGATTGCATCATTATTTTGATAAATTCCACTGCATATTCAGCGATCTGCATTTATCTCAGCATTCTGAGTCATTTGGAGAAACCACCAACCATTTAAGGTACATTTTCTTATTCCATATAACCATTAGCTATTTTACAACTAATTTATATGTCTAATTCTTTAAATATGTAAGATAAAAATACATACAAAAATGTCTCTCCTTTTTTTGAGTGGGTAATTTGGTATCCAC